CACTACATCAAAGAAGTCTCAGAAAATCAGCAAGTTCAGCTCAGCTCTTCTGACAAGAAGTCTGAGCTTTCTCCGAGGTCACAGAGCCCAATGACCCTTTCAGAGACAGGGAGGACCACTTTCAAGGGATCTATGTAAACCCTGAACACCAAGTTTAAGGAAAAGGCTCTGTATTCTAGAGCAAAAAAAAGGCACTATGTCTCAAAAAGTCCTCAACACAAAGATCAGAACTCGCACAAAAAAATATTAATAACATATTCTGTCCTATTTAGGAAACATTACTTAGCAATTTTTATTGAGGTTTTTAAATTTCATACATTTCTGAGTCACATCCAGACCCCCTCCCCCATCCATTTCTCCCCCCTAACCCCCCACTGAACCCTGTGTGCTCTGCCATACATGCTGAGTCCTATTCATTCAAGTGTTTGTACCCAAATGTCCTTCAGTGTAAATGCATCTACTGGAGTCTAGTCCATCCATCTAGTGGTCGTATGTAAGTCATACTCTCCCTCACCCAGAAGCAATCAGTCTCAAATAGTTCTCAATCTAGTCTGGCCCGCCACCCATTTCTTATCTCTCCTTTGGGTCCTTGTTTAATTGAGCTGACGTGGGTCCCACACTTGACGCCACCACTACACCAATCCCTTATGTGTGACTATATAAATTCTGATGTAACGCCAGGTAAAGGGAAAGGATATGTGGAGGTAAAGGACAAGAAACAACCTTAAAGGGGGATGGTAGGGAACAGATGTTACCTGAGGGAGGTGGAAAAAGTGGGAGTAATTGGCAGGGAGGAGAGGAGGGAGGGACATGCAAGGGACCATGGTGTGGGGGAGCAAGTGAGGGAAGTCAGGAGAGGAAAGATGGTGGGAGTCGGGAGGTGTTGGGGGAAGGTTGGGGATAATGGGGGCACTTAGCAATTTTTTGATGTGAGCGAGTGATTTAGATTTTTTAAAAGTCAGTTTCATCATGTAAAGAGACTTATAATCTCATATCACTATTTGTCATAGGACAAATGATAGAAACCCAATCATAATGAACTTAAGAAGAAAGTGCTTAGTAATAGCTTCTATGTAAGTACAATTCATGTCTCTGAAGACAATGCATGAAACTGGATTTCGTTTAAAAAAAAAAAAAAAAAAAACTAGAATTAGAGACTCTGCCACCATGGAAGAGCTCCCCTCTGCGCCTGGTCTCCACTTCCCTCTACACACAGGTGTCCCCCTTGCTGTTCTTAAGAACATGAGGCAGAAAATAGTCAACGATAGCCACAGAGCTGCTGACCCACCCAACCCCAACCTAAGAAACAAAGTGATTGATTCAAGTTCTCAATTACAAAGAAAAGTTAAGATTTGTTCAGTTCATAACATGTGGCTTCCTCTAGACCAATCAATTATTTGTTGACAGGTAAAGGATGTTTATCCTGCTTTCCAGGATGACTGTGCGATAAGCATACAAATAGGGAAGCATGGGTGTTCAAAGAGAAAGGGAATTCATTAAGAAAAAAAAAAAATCAGGGCCAGAGAAAAGACTCAGCCTTTAAGAGCTCTTGCAGAGGACCCAGATTCAATTGTTAGCACCCATATGGTGGCTAACAACTGTTCATAACTCCAGCTCCAGGGAAATCCAACACTTTCTTCGGGCCTCCGCTGACATTGCACAACACAGGTGCACTTACATACATGCAGGCAATACACTCACATACATAAAATAATTAATAATAATAATAATAATAATATCACACGGACCAAATCAGGGACACCTACTACAAGAACATATTAATATTTCACTAATACACATCTAAAATAAATACGCTCATATCTGGATATTTTTCTCCAGAATAAATACAGTGTAATTTTATCAATATATAAATTTCTGACCATCTTAAACATTTATACATTATATTTTTAAGCAAGAAACAGATGACGGGTATGGTAGTATACACCTGTAATCTCAGTACTCAGGCGGTAGAAGCTGTAGGATCAGAAGTTCAAGGCCAGCCTTGAGTTTGAGGCCAGTCTGGGATGATGTCTCAACAAGACAACAAATCAGGAAACAAAATAAAAATGGTATTATGCTTTAGTTATAATGAAAATAGTATGGTTGCAGAATAAAACACAGATCCTAAGGACAAATGTTTAAAGACATAACACAATTGTTTCTCAACTTATCATAAGGTTATATCTCAATAAACTCATTGTTAAGTACAAAATGTATGTAGCACCCCCTACCCTACTGATTATCAGAATGGAGCAATCCTGTATTCTGTGGTCTTGTCTGCTCTCTCTTGTGACAGAGGCTCCCTGGGAGCTGTGGCTCTCACTTGCTGCCCAGCACTGTCATGAGCGCAGAACTGTGGAGCACTAGCCCAGGGAAAGGTGAAAATTCAACATTCTAGCTTCTTTTTCTCTTGAACAGATATCATTTCACCATTACAATGTATAAAATCATCATTATTTAGGTACATTCTTCATTTTCCTTCAAATAATTTAAATGTACAATATAAATTCAGATCTTGCAGAAACAAGATTTTGTTTTTAGCCCTGTTTCTCTCTCCTGCGTCTTAGAAACCCTTTTTTTTTTTTTTTTTCCTTCACATTCTCTGTTCTTACTTCTGCTGATGCTCCCAGGTCTTTTTCTCAGTGTGCCTTATTGAATTTTGTGCATTTCATACATCTTAATCATGTTTAGACCCCTACATATGCACCCCTCTATAACCCCTCCTCCAGACTACATGCATTCTGTCGTATATGTTAAACCTGTTGAGTCAAGTCTGTGTACCTTGATGTCCCTCGATGTGAGTTCATCCACTGGAGTCTAGTTAGCCCATCTAGTGTCTCTCCCTTAAAGAAGATCTACTCCCTCTCACCCAGCAGGGATCAGGTGCCAAGAGTTCCCCAGCTAATGTTGGGGCCTGCTGCCCATTGCTCCAGTACTATGTTGTGTTTCTGTCTGATTGAACTTGCATGGGTCTTGTGCATGCTGTCACTGTTGTTGTAAGTTCATATGAACAAGCTCCTAGAGGCCTGGAAGACCTTGTTTCCTTATGATCATGCACCAAACCTGGTTCTTCTAATCTTTCCACTTCTCTTCTGAAATGGTCACTGAACCATGAGTTGGTGAGGTTTAACACAGGATTCCTATCCAGGGACAACATTTAGTGCTCTTAAGCACTGAATCAACTCTCTAGCCCTGCTGCTCCCATCTCTAAACAACTGTTTGTGAGTTTATCACTAAGTTTTCAGCATGAGGAATCTTAGGGGTAGTATCAAATACTATTTCACAAACCAACAAAAATGTCTTTATATGATTAGTACTAAACAGAGTACCAAACTGGAAATGAACAAAACCAATTTCTAATTTTTATTCTTTGCCCAAATAAGCATAGACCAATTTTAGACAAGTCATTCAGGATCCCTGTGTCCCTCTGTGTCAACTTCACTACTTTAGACTCATCTAGGAAACTGTGTGTGTTTGTGTGTTGGGGGTGTGGGTGGGTGTTTTCAGGGGATTCACTTAGTAAAGACTAACCCTACGAGTGGAAGGTACCATCCCAAAGGTTGGCAGTTCTGATGGAAGAGCCTCAGGGAAGAAAGGAGGAAGTCTGAGAGCACCACCAGCCCTTGCTCTCCTTTCTGGTTTGCCATGATGTTAATGAGTCTCCTAGTCCATACATTTCTGTGTCATGATGTGCTGCTCAAGGACATGGGCCTAAACAAGCATGAGCTACAATAAACCCTCCCTTCTCAAAGCTTTCCTTTCAGGTTTTGTCACGGCAATATGACAGCGATTAACACCATCCATGAATCTACTTGATGATCTGCATTTCCTTCAGGATGAAACCTCGGAAGTAAAGAGGATCACTATGTTACAGGACTTGTTTATAAAGATAAGTGGGGAGGAATGTCAGAAAATTAGAGATTTCCCTCTCTTGTCAGAAAGAAATTCTCATCCAAAAGAAGAATATATTTTACATGTCACTTAAAATTTTTCTTTTGGTTAGATTACAGCAATCTGACTGCTGTCTACCAATAAGCTCCAGGCCTCAATGAGGGATCTACTCAACAAATGTCAGGTTTTAAAAAGATACCACTTTTCATAGGATTTTAGAATTCCCTCTGGGTGTTTCCTGAATAATTTTGTGAAGAAAAAGTCCTGCACCTTTCAATAGAATGATAAGAGATGAATACGGCTATTATGAATTTAAAAAGGAAATTGCAGTCTCGTTTTGTACTAGATCTTGTGGCTATGACCCCTTTTCAGAAACAAGGAATGAAACTTACAAAGCAGCAATGTTCCCAGCAACAATCCCCCAAGAAAAGCTGAAGGAGTAAAGTAAGGTGATAAACCAGTCTAGAAATACTTGCTATCAGTTAAGTATTATGTCTTATCATTTATTTTCACATATTAAAAAGAATTGCCTTGAAGGAAAACTTGGCATTGTGATCATAATAGCAATAATATTGTCCTGAAATTAATTCACATATTCTCTGGGGCAAAATCTGTTTGGAACTGGGATGATTGGCCGTGGCTCAAATGGAACATCCATCAGAGACAGGCATCGTTGGAAGTGCGCTGCACAAATGCTGGGTTGGGATCCTTTTAAACCCTGTCAACTCGGGGGTTTTTGGTTATTAGGATATCAAACATGCAAATAAGTATACTATAGTTGAGCAATACTGGTCTTTCTGGAATATCCAATGTGTTTTTCCTAACAACCTCCATTCTTTCTATTCTTATTACATTACCTAGAATTCACGAAATCCAAAAAACAGTCACTTTTACTTGATTCAATTTCAAGAGACTGAAAAATCAGCCAAATTCCTCACCTTCCTCTCTCCTAAATTCTTCTCCCCCCGCCCTCTCCTAATTGCAAGGCTTTACACTAATTTACATGAATTTCAGCTTTCAAAATCAATGGTCTTTGCTGAATGCAAATAAGCACATGGGAAAATTATATTAAGTTTGCACAATTGATCTTTCATCATTTCAAACAGTACCTTTGAATAGTTCCTGAAATGTCTGTTTGAAATACTCCCAGCGCTGAGTGTCATCAAAAGATGGGGGGTCACTCTGGGGAAACCCATTCTCGGTGATGTAAATTACAGGGTTATTATACGTATCCTAGAACAAGAGAGCAGAAGTTTCATTCCAAACAGATGTTTTAAAAAAATGAAAGCTCATAAAATCAGGTGCATTACCCTCTATCTTCCTGAAGCTACAACCCCAAAACTAGTTTTCATCAAATTGCACTGACCCTATTAACTTAATTTTCCATGCTCTGACCTTTTATGACTAACAATGGAAGAGCAAAACTGCGCAAGTGTCCATGAAGACAGTCAAATGACTCTTATAATGAGAAGACAGAAATATCTCTCTTCTCATCAGCATCTAATGATTGCCACTTCTCCTTAACCCCATTGGTCCCACTAGCAGGTACATTTTCTATTCCCCATAGGAGGGGTCCTGAAAACTGGTACCTTGTGTAATTTCAGTCAGCAGCACAGTGGAGTCTCAGAAAGCATCCAGCCCTGTTTCCTTAAAATGCCTTTCCTAATTGCAGCAGTGACACCCACTTGAACAATATGTCCTGGCTACTCCTATAGCCACAACAGAATTTAACAACAAATTCTGCCTTTGACCACTGGTTTTAAAGCTAGCTCATTAATCCTCACCAACTTAAATCCCAATCTTCTCTTCCCAAGCCAACAAATGGACATCCTACCACCTGATGATACACACATACATATTCCTTTCTGGCCGTCTTCGTATAGTTGGGTGTACGTTGACACAAACAAATCGCGCATTTACCTTAATGTATTTCAGTAGTTTACGTATTCCCCATGGCACCACATAGATCCAACCCACATTTTTCCAGGATGGATGAGGAAAGTATTCAATCTCCACATCCTGAAGAAAGCTGAGCTCGTTGCTACTCTGCCGGTGCTTGGCTAAGCGAGTTGTATAATATTGCACCGCAAAGAAGTCGGCGGTGCCTTTGATCATTTTTTTCTCTTCTTCTGTGAATTCTGGAAGCCTTGATGATGAATAGCCTTGTTTTTCACTCATGGAGGCAATCTGGGACTTGACAATTTCAGGATAATCACCATCGATGAATATAGGTTTAGCAAAGAAATCCAACTGGAAATTGATGGCTCTCTTAGTAGCTTCCTGGTCCAGCACTGAGTTGGGATCTGCTGGTTCCAACCAGGAAGCAAATAACGATAGGGACACCATGCCTTTCTGTTCTTTTCGGAATAAAGAATCATAGCTGTGCCAGGATCGGGCATGTGCCCTAATCAAATTATGAGCTGCCTGATAACCTCCAGTCCCAATGTGAGGCACACCAGGAGCAAAGATTCCCATGTCATAGGACAACAGAGCAAGAATATTGGGCTCGTTCATGGTGAGCCACTGCTTCACTCGATCTCCAAAGGTCCTAAAGCAAAACTGAGCATAGTTGTCAAAGGTCTCAATGATTGCTTCTGACAGCCAGCCTCCTTGGTCTTCTAAAGCCTGAGGCAAATCGAAGTGATAGATAGCCACTACGGGTGTAATCCCATTCGTTAACAAATCATCAATGATCCTGTTGTAATAGTCAATTCCTGGGGGAGACAAGAAGAAAATGTGATAATCGAAAAGTTATTTTTAGTATATTGGCAATACATCTTAACAGAGAGGTATCAGATGACTCTTACTCAACAGAAGGTTTATTATGTATTCAATTTGATCAATGAAAGGTTGGGAAGAAGCATGGAGAGTTCCACAGAAGGCTGGCTGATCAGGAAGTGGGGATGAGATGGAGTGACAGTGTGGGAAGATGCTTGCTCTGAAATACATTTGATACATTTGAGCAACTTGCTGACACCTAACATTGTGCTGTTTTCTCCTTTGTTGAATTTTAACTCCAGTAGGACACAAATTCTGTGGGAGCAGAGGTTGAGTTGCACAATTCACCTCTAAATTTTCACATCGTGGGACACAATCCGAAATTTTGTAAACAATAAATATCTGTTCAATTAATAAAGCTCAAAATCATTGAAATAAAATAAAGAAGCAATTCAGATAACTATCTTAGTTCTTTGCCAGACCTTATAAACCTAGGAAGGGATGCACTGAATGTGCACCATAACTTAGCATCAAAGTCAGGTACAGGGGCTCACGCCTGTGGTCCCAACTATTTGGGACTATTTGAGCCAAGTAGATTGAAGTCGGTCTGAACAACATAGTGATGACCTTCTTCAGGGAGATAAAATGTTCAGTATCTATCCCAGAATGGGAATTCTACACACAGATAGCAAGAGGCTTGGAAGAATATGAGAATTTGGTTGGGGTTCACTCTAAACTTTTGAATGTGTACTGGAATACACAGTAAATGTTTGTTCTCAGCTGATTCTCCCAAGACAGCATGCCCAAGAGAGTGCTTGTAGAATTGTTGCAGAGTTCAGAAGAATGCTATTAAATTGAAGAGGCTCTGCCTCGGGAACCAAGACCAAGAAGATATTGGGTCCAGCCTTATGATGACTCTTACGTTGAAGTGACTCTCTAGTAGAGGGTGCTGTTAGGACTGTGCCTGGCTTTATGTTACAAAGAATGAAAGGACCCAAGACTTTGAAAAGAAAAGCTGTCCTGGTTGAAAGGGGTTAGTTAGTTTCTGGAGAAATGTAAGATCATATGTAGAATTGTGTTGCACTGGAGAGTTATCTGCAAGAAACATCCTTTTCTTTCCTAGCTTGATGAAAAGAGTAATGCAGACTTCTGCATTGCTTCCCACATTCAGTCATTCACTTGTTCATTGCTTAAAGTCATACTGATAGAAAAATAATCATATGCTAGGCACATAGACAGTACGGTAAGCACAACACTATTCCTCAGTGAACTTATTAAGAATCACTACAGATAAACTGACAAACAGGTAAAATGTTAGGACTACATAGTAAAGATAAAATGTAGAGTCTTACTCTAAAGTGAGATAAATATACCCACCTTAAACTCAGGCATCTGAAAGCATGCTCTGAGAGCAATATACCACCCAGTTTAAAGTTTGAACTATGGTGCCTGCATATCTAAAGCATACTCCCACTCCATCACCTACCAGCTCCATGATCTGGAGCAAGTTACTGGATCTCTCTGAATTATCTTTCCCCATCTGTAAAATATGAATGATACTAGAAACCTACTTCAATGAATTTTCGTGTGAGAGTTTATTCAGTTAATACACTGAACATGCTAAGAACATTTCTTAACATACAAGAGCCCAGTGAAGGTTAACTGTCATTCTAGTGATTACTATTGTTATTACTATTAGACTTAAACTGGTATTTTAAAAGTGAATTTGGAAACGTGAATAAAAACTGCTTAGCAGTTAAGAGCACTGGCTGCTCTTGCAGAAGACCTGGGCTCAGTTCCCAGCATGGCAGTTAACAACCATCTGTAAGTCCAGTTCCAGGGCATCCAACGTCCTCTTCTGACCTCCGTGAGCACTGCGTGACAAGGGTGCACTTAGTTCATGCAGGCTATATACTCATACACAAAAAATAAAATAAAAATAGAAATAAAATATCTTTAAAGGAACATTAGGTGATAAGGAAAGAGTATTCTTGGAAGAGAAAAAGAAGAAACAAATGTCCAAAAGAAGACCCAAGGCTATGTAGAAATAAAGGGTACCCAAATGTGAAAACAGGCAATTTACTCCATTTGCTATAGAAAGGAAGTCCACCACCATCACTTGAATTTGGCAAGAACTCAAAAATAGTTGGGGAAAACAAATGGGAAAACCTGCTCTATCTGGAACTGTTGGCTTACGGAGTAAGAAGATAGCTCAGTAAAAGTGGGGAGTCTTCAGCGATTGATTTGGGGAGCATATTTGACTTCCTCTTACTGGTTCTGAGTCAGAAGTTGAGTTATGATGGGAACAAAAACTATCGAAGGTGCAAGATGCTGACCAACTATTCTGGGCTGGTGACTATAGAGGCTGTGGTTTGGCTGTCTGGGCTTCTTATGTGGGTCAGAGCTTTATTTACATATGCTGTCTGGTCAGTGTTTATATATTCACCCTCTTAAGAGAGGTGCTCCTTCTGGGAACTGAAAGTTCAGTGTACAAAGGGTGTGTGCTTCATCAGAAGAGGAGGAAGACTGGAGGAAAGATAACAGGGTAAGCAGAAACCATGTTATGCACCACAGTGTTGTTGACCTGAGTATTTTTAACAACAGCTCATTTATTTTGCAAACGGGAAAACACCATGAGTCATGCAGAAACAGTCCACACTTGGGAGGCAATTTGTATGCAATGCTGACAGAATAACTCCTTCTCCCCAGAATGCCCGTGCCTTAATCCACGTAACCAGTAAAGGTATTACCCTACAGGGGCAAAAAGGAGACTATGCAAATTTGATTAAGGAAAAGATCCTTACATAAGCAGATTTCTCTAGACTTTCAAGACAGACTCACTACAAGCAAAGTCCTTAAAAGTAGAACGTAACAGGAAAATTGGTCAGAAAGAGGCAACAATGAAGACGAGGTAGAGAATCTGGCAGATTGAGAGGTATGCAACCTGCTGCTGCTGGCTTTAAAGACAAGAAAGGCGGCCAGCCACACACCAAAAAAGATGGGTAGCCTCAAAAGCTGAGACTGTTCCTCAGTGGATAACCAGCAAGGACATTAAGACCTCCGTGCTACATGTAGATAACGTGAATGAACCAAGACAGACATTCTCCCATGCTCTTCCAAAAGAAACACAGCCCTGCAGGCACTTTTATCTCAGCTGACAGAACTTGAAGGTCACAAATTTGTGTTTGTTTAAGAAGCTAAGTTAGTGGGAGTTTGTTTCAGCAGCAATGGAAGACCAGCATAATTTACCTACTTTATAAAGCTTCCCATTGCTTTCGTAGCAGAAGTGCATTCCAGACCCATCTCTGGCCAGTATAAATCCACATTTCCTCATTTGTAACTGGAGTATCAAAACGGAGATGATAAACTAGCCTTGGTGTTAGTGTGCACGAAGGTTCTCCTGGAAAACCGTCTCATTGGCTTTTTCCATGTTAGCTTCTTTTATCGAATTCATATCGTATGTGCTAGGTGACGTGCATTTTGCTTAATTCTAGAACTATGTTCGAGGGAGGAGCAATTTTATTCCTATCAAATACACAAGGAAATCAGTGCCTAGAGAGATTCGGTGCTGTCAAATGGCACAGTCAACATTTACTCCCACACTGAGACTGAGTTTTCTCATTGCAGCATACTACTTCTCACGTTTACAAATGCCCTTGAACCATAAAACGTGACAGTTTCACTGGGCTTACTTCTACCTACTCAGACCTGATCATAATATCAGGTCCTTTATAGTATTCTTTTATGTGGAACCTTTCAAGATAACCAATCAATTTAATTCAAACAATGTGATAATTATGAGCTAAAGTTAAATACATTTCATGTTGTTCATGCATTTATACTATGTTGCATAATTAATATTTAACATCCCATAACTGAGCACTTTGCTTCTGCTTTATACAGTTTATTTGATGATATAAGAAAACTTTTACAACTTTTCTATGAACTGATAGAGTGTGTGTGTGTGTGTGTGTGTGTGTGTGTGTGTATTACTAAGGACTGAACCTAGGGTCTTGTACACACTAGGGAAGTGCTGTACCACTGAACTGTCTCCCCAGTGCAATGAGACCTAAGACCACCACACTGAGACAACTCAGTCAAAGGAACCAAACACCTGGCCTCTGTATGCCTACATTCCTCATCCGTGAAAAAGGATGCTCACAGTGCCACCTCCTGGCTGTTATGAGAATTGAATAAGATCAAACTGTTAAAGGTGATCAGACTGATTTGGTTCAGTGACAACAAATTCTGTGTTCTCTCTCAAGTGATGGGTTGTTCTCTCTCTAGGGATCTTGAAACTTTGAAAGACCACTTGGACCCTGTTTTGCTTCCAGATCTATGGACAAGATTGACTCTTTGAAAAATTAAAACTTCTCTAAGCTTCTTTTATAGTCAACACCACATTATCTGCTTTAATTAATGCCATTTCTGCTTATTTGGTCTTTGAAAATGTGAAGTAGATTTGAACTAAAGTTCTTTTAGACATAGGAAAAATAATCCAGCCCAGACTATCTCAAATGGAAGGGAGCGTAGGGGCAGTTGGGCAATGAGTACAGGGTAGCGTAGGCATTACTTGAAACAACTTGAAGATGGCAGACACCCAGTGACAAAGACTTGATGGGTTTTGTAAAAAGAAAATAAGAACACAAAGTTGGATGGGTAGGAAAGTGGTAGTAGATCTGAGAGGAGTCTGTGGAAGGGGTGATTATGATCAAAATACATTGTATGAAATCCTCAAAGGACTCATAAAAATAAAATACCAATAACCAATATGTATATGACACCCACATACGCCAAACACTCCTCAAAGTATTTTCTGTAGACCCTCATTTCACCCTTGTATCTACCCTGTCTTCATCATAATGATAAAGAAACTGAGTCCCAATGACACCAACTTGCTCTACTCTCACACTAGCACATGGCAGAGTCTGAATTCATCCAAAGCAATTGGATTTCATAGTGTTTGTCTTTAATCAGGTAATTCTCTGACTTCTCT